TGGTGACATGGGGACAGTGATGGGACAGTGATGGCACAGTGAGGTGGTGGCACCTCCAGGGGTGGCTCTGGGCAGCCAGGAGGGTCTGGGGACATTGGGGACATCGTGGGGACATCGGGGACATCATGGGGACATCGTGGTGGCATCGTGGTGGCACCACCGGGGAGCCCCGGAGAGCCCTGGGGAGGTGGTGACATGGGGACAGTGATGGCACAGTGATGGGACAGTGACATGGTGGCACCTCCAGGGGTGGCTCTGGGCAGCCAGGAGGGTCTGGGGATGTCGGGGACATCGTAAGGACATTGAGGACATCGTGGACATCGTGGGGACATCGTGGGGACATCGTGGGGACATCGTGGTGGCACCACCGGGGAGCCCCGTCTGAGCCCCAGAGAGCCCTGGGGAGGTGGTGACATGGGGACAGTGATGGGACAGTGATGGCACAGTGACACAGTGGCACCTCCAAGACAGCCAGGAGGGTCTGGGGATGTTGGGGACATCGTGGGGACATCGTGGGGACATTGGGGACATCATGGGGACATTGTGGTGGCATCACCGGGGAGCCCCAGGGGAGCTACACAATGACTTGGGGAGGAGGTGACATGGGGACAGTGATGTGGTGGCACCTCCAGGGGTGGCTCTGGGCAGCCAGGAGGGTCTGGGGACATCGTGGACATCGTGGGGACATCGGGGACATCATGGGGACATCGTGGGGACATCGGGGACATCATGGGGACATCGTGGTGGCACCACCAGGGAGCCCCAGGGCAGCTACACAAAGACCTGAGGAGGTGGTGACAAGGTGACAATGACATGACGAGGACGTGCCAGGGAGGTGACAGCGGTGCCACGGCTCAGAGGTGGCCCTGGGGACATCTGGGGACATTTGGGGACATTTGGGGACGTTTGGGGACGTTTGGGGCCGTTGGGGCCACTCACCTGTAGTGGGTGTAGATGCTGCTGGTGAAGGGCAGCTTCGGCGTCGACCACTGCACCACGGCCACCAAGGGCACCTCCAGGCCCTGGGGAGGGGACAGCGGGGACACAGGTGCCACCCCCGGGGTCCCCAAGTGTCCCCAAGGCCACCCCAATGTCCCCAAGTGTCCCCAAGGCCACCCTGAGTGTCCCCAACCCCGAGGACACCCCAACCAGGGGGACTTTTGGCGTCCCCAGGA